CTCCAATGACTTAAGAACGCATAGAGGAAGAATGTACATTTTGTTACCTAGTTTTTGTTTTGTAATACTTTGGCGTTCAATGAAACTTAGTCGAGTAATCCTCAAATAGATACAAATAAATACATACTTACAGTACAACTCACACCAATTTTAAGAGACCTACCCTTTCTATTATGAATGGTCAATTCCAAAGGTGCTCTCATCCTTGTTATATCGTCGAGCTCACTGTTTTATATTTCATCTACGCAGATTCACTATCTTAAGCGATGAGTTTAAAACATTTTCAAAGCCCCTCTCTAGTTATTTCGGGAAATATCAGCTGACTTTCACATATTTACCAACCACTACTAATATAGTCCCTCAGAGCTTTCTAGGCTCATCGGAATTTCCAATTATCCCATTTTATCAAAATCCGACGGGCACTTAGTGATTTATCCTTAATAAGGCATATTCGTTTGATTTCGATGACATTAATGATATTCTCATTTTGATATCTTGAAGTCAATTCCCTCTGTCTTGTCTTGCAAAGGTTTTTCTGCAATAAATAAACAATCTATCTATATATATTAAAATGAATAGCTGTTCGTTAGTCTCGCTAAAACTCGAGAACGGATGGACCGATTTGGCTAATTTTGATCTTAAATTATTTGTGGAAGTCCAGAGAAGGTTTAAAAGGAGAAGGTTTAAAAACTAAATATGAAAATGCTCGGAATTAAATAAAAATAACAATTTTGTTTTGTTACAACGGCTGCCCCACCCTTCAAACCGAAACGCATTACTGCTTCACGGCAGAAATAGACAGGCTGGTGATACCTACCCGTGCGGACGCACAAGAGGTCCTACCACCAGTAAAAAATATACATATTCAAATATACAAATGCTTGCAATGTATTATAAATATACAAATGCACGCGCGACTGTCTTATCGTTTCACCGTTAGCCAAATTTTAAATTGAACCGACGCGACGGTGAGAATTCGGAACGTAAATACGGGAACAAGACAGCAATTAGGACGGTCACCGTTCGTGTTATTTACATGTCTCAAGTGGGCGCTAATGGCAGCTTATAGAAATGTGTAAAAATCTTCCGTCGTTCGTAACAATGTATGCGTAGCGATAAATGAAATAAACATTTCATTTGGACTTTCTTAAATTTTGTCCGAATCATTTGTAAGTTAGGAGTCCGCTGCTGCCTACTGAAAAAATATAATTATTTATTTAAAACTAGCTGACCCGGCAGACTTCGTAGTGCCTCGGCCGATAAATAAAAGACCTAAACATTTGTGTAAAATAAACTTAAAACAAACAAAAAGAATCCGTCCGACGGGGGACACATCAAAGGGAAAACAAAATTGTTATTTTTATTTAATTTCGAGCATTTTCATATTTATCTACCTCTTAAACCTTCTCTGGACTTCCACGAATAATTCAAGATCAAAATTAGCCAAATCGGTCCAGCCGTTCTCGAGTTTTAGCAAGATTAACGAGCAGCAATTCATTTTTATATATATAGATAACTATTATTTTTATTGCTTAGATGGGTAGCCGATCTCACTGCCCACCTGGTGTTAAATGGTTACCGGAGCCCATAGACATCTACAACGTAAATGCCGCCACCCACCTCGACACAAGAGACTTGAGTTTAGTGGTGGCACCTACGCGTGCAGACTCATAAGACGCCCTACCGCCACTATTTAGTGCTTCAGACTTGTAGCATGGGGTCCAGGCAACATCCGATGATCAACTTTTTATTTATTTTTCCTGCCTATTCGCCTGTAGCCTAAGGGGCTATTCCAGCTACTCCTGGATGGTTAGGAGAGCTCACGAGCTCAAGCTGAGTGACTTTGCCGACACTAGCCCTAGCAAGAGCAATGCTTCGCTGAATCTACCACCAGAGCGGAATCGCGACCCACTGAAAACATCCGGGGAGAAACTCAGTGGGCTGTGTCTATGGGTTAATTATCTAGTTGAACTCTTCGTCGTAATCGCTAAGATCGACGAGGACGGTGACCGGTGCTTGAGGAGCTTAAAAGCAAGCAGATTTCGGTATAAAACAAACAAAGTTTTAATTAAGTAGTCCCTAATTGAATGATCACGTGGCGAGCCCGCACGCGCGTTATATCCGCCGAATCATCGTCAATCACAGAGAGATCGCCGAATCGATCGACCCGACCTAAATAGTCGATAGGTCGCGTCACACCTAACTGGAATTCAACCAGGATCTATATATTAATATGTGAAACAAAAACTTTGTATCCCTTTTTACGAAAGTTGCGCGGGCGGAGGAGTATGAAATTTCCCACACTTATAGAGAATATAGAGAAGGAGTGCAGAATGTTAATTTTTTTTTTTATTTTGCCTGAAAAATACATTAACATAATAAATAAAAATATTACACACACACATACATACTGTTTGTTTATTGTCATACTTTTCTTATTGCTTATAGTCTGTGGTCAAATTGAGAATAGATTAAATATAGTTTGTCTTTATTAATATTTGTCTAAGTCCTAATAAATAGTATATAATATAATAATATAATTTCAATTAATTCTAGTCGAATTTCGACCACTGCGGGACCACTAGTCATATTTTAAGAGACACCAGTGAAACTCAAACTCGCTGTGCTGTAACATCGGTATTGTATGAGGAGCGTGGATTTCTTCAATCTGTTCACGCGACATCTATCGGACGTTTATAGAAACTGTATAAACAATAATTGTGTCAAATTACAGTACAATAGAACGAATAGTATAGAGACGCACACATTCATTTTGATTACGCTTAAGAAGACGTTGAATTTTAGAAGTATATTTCCACAAATATTGATTAGTAGGGTAGAAACGAGGTGAATGCTTGCACTTGCTATCTGCAAAAAATATCAATACACACATCAGCCAACATTCCAATAAGATTCAAACTCCTAAAATAATTATTTAAAAAACTTTTAGGTATTGGGTATTATTTTGGTGGTAGATTCTGCGAAGCACTGCTCTTACTAGGGCTAGTGTTACAAAATTCGTCAGGTTATAGCCCCGTGAGCTCTGCTACTGGCTCGGTTAAACTGGCACAACCCCTCAAGGCTACCAGGATAGGTGGGGAAAAAAGATTTGAATTTTTCCTTAATCATAGCCTCTCCGAGACTAAGGTCTCCCGTGACGTTAACATGAATTATCAAAACATACCAACATGAAGTAATCGAATTAGAATTGTTTCATATGAAAACATATTCGTGATAATTAGTTTGAATATCTATTCACAAATAACATTTGTAATATATAAGAATTCATATCCATTAACTTGATACCTACCTTGGTACCTACTTTTTAAAATATTCGTGCTCGGTCTACGGATAAGAGTCACCACTGCCAGATTTCAATTCGGAAATTTTTGATGAACAGACAAGATTAGTTAAACGGGAAACGCTTAAATTGGTGGATGACCTCATAGCCCACCGAGTCTATAAACATCTACAGCCTAAATGCCGCCACCCACCTCGAAAAATGAGTTCTAAGGTCTTTAGTCTTAGTTTTTCAGTACAACGGCTGTACCACCCTTCAAATAGAGACGCATTACTGCTTCACGGCAGAAATACGCAGGGCGGTGGTAGTGGTGGCAGACGTCCTCCACCTTTGTCGTATCGCCCTTGTCAGAGCGGTCGTGGTCGACATTCAGTATCATTACTGTGAGCAGATGTTATGCGCCTCACGATCAATCGCCAATCCTCCCTATCTGTGGTGAGTCTGGTACACTCATGTAAACACATTCAAAACAAATATCTATCTTATATATAAATCTAAATTTGTTATATTTTGAAGTTGTGCTTAAGTGTATATATGAATATGTATGTGAATATGTGAGTATATATATATATATATATACCGTGTATGTGTTTGTATGTTGTATAATGTAATTTGGTTGTTTCACATTAAGTTGTGCACCTACCACAGGATTCTCTACACCACCCTTGGTTGACTGGTAGAGAATGCCTCAGGCATTAAGTCCGCCATTGTACTTATGTGCATTAAGTTGAATAAATAAATAAATCTATGTTAAGTGGTCACCGGGGCCCAAATATCAACAACGTTAATGCCGCCACCCACCTTGAGATATGAGCTCTAAGTGTCAGTTTTTACAGTAAAACTGCTGCTAATTACTTACCTAGTTTACCTAGCCGAACTCATTACTGGTTCACGGCACAGATAGGCAGGCTGGTGGTTCACAACCGTGCAGGCTTACAAGACGCACTAACACGAATAAATAGATTAGATTATCTAGATTAATAGTCTCATATGAACGAACCTACTCGCGGGAATAATTCGATTGTTCTAAGCGTCTCCGTGGGTGGCCGATCGATAACCCGCTAAGATTACTAATAGGTAATTACATGTCGTGTTCTTGTCGTGATTGTAATTATGTTATTGTTCTAAATGAGATATTTGTTATCTGCCTATGATAGGATTTTTTAGGTTCTGTGATCCGATGTACCTAATTACGATAACCAGGTCTGTTGTTTTGCGTATTTAATCGGAATTCACTAAACAGGAATAAAATTTATTGTTTTTTTATAGGTCTTAGTAATAAATACTTAAACAACAGAACATACGCTTCAGGCACTGCGCACGAGTCACTGAGATAACTTGATAGCTTGAAAATGAACTAAATCGGTACCAAACATAAACTCAAGAAGGAAATAAAAAAATCCAGTGACAGTAGGAATAGGTTTTTAGAAGAAGAAAATTTCTTTTTTTTAGGCAAAAGTGAATCTTAATTAAAACCAATTTGTATTACTGTAAATTATCCGAGCGTGTTATGGCAACAAATTCACTTAGAAAAGAGAACTTAATGCATAAAAATACGCGGGAATCTGTTGCCTTTGTTTCTCCTTGAAATAAACATATAAATAAATGCAATTAAAAGAGTATAACTATGGTATAACTTCATAAGCCAATCGTCGTATTCACAATTTCAATACGTCAAAGAAACATCACATCAATCAAAATGTCGGGGATTCTCTCGAAAGTTTTGAGGTTACCACGGAAATATCCTTTGCTTCGCGGTATGCTGTGTTACGCGGTGATATGGCCCGCTTGCAGCATAACCCAAGAGTTCATGGAGCACGGACCCAACTTGGAAAAATTGGATTGGGCTAGAGCAACGCGCTTTGGCGTGTTTGGAACATTCTTTATGGCTCCAGTCTTTTACGGGTGGATGAAGTATAGCAGCAGGTAATTCGTAATAGACTCTAGCACTATGATATTTAGGCACAATTTAGTTTTCGCCGGAATACGGGTAATAAACGAAAATTTAAATTAAAAACAATATTAGATCTATGCACATAACAAAGTTGCAGGTTCGGACAAATTAGATTTTCGTGATTTTATTAAAATAATAATATATTTTTTAACAAAACAAGATAGATCTGGGATTAACAGTGAGCCAACTGTGAATGCAGACAGAATTGGCCTAAATATATTTCAAATTACTATTTCAAATGTATTTTAGTTCAGTACATTAGGACACAAAACGAACGAATATTCTTTGTAGTGACTCACTTAAGTTCAAAATTGATAATATTATTATTTTGTAAGCTTGAAACCGTAGGCTGTACTAATTATTTTCGAAAGCTTAAAGATCTTTGTGATAGAAATATTAGTTCGAAGTAATTTAATAAAATTTCGTTAAACAGTGAATATTCTAATTAATATATGAGAATGTTGATCTTGACCAAAAAGTATTTAATACAAAATGGTGGAAAATATATAATGCGAAGATTGCATAGAATAGTTTCTAAATCACTAAACACGTTCACTTGCTTTTGTTAACTATTGAAATGTATTGAACAGGTTTTTCAAGAGAAATAATTTGAAGACAGCAATCCTCAGGGCGGGCTTAGAACAAATCTCTTACGCTCCTCTAGCGACGGCGTATTTCTTCTTCGGCATGAGTCTGCTCGAGATGAAGCCTATAAAAGAATGCCTAAAAGAAGTGGAAGAAAAACTCTGGCCCACGTACAAAATAGGGGTGTTATTCTGGCCGATGGCTCAAACTGTTAACTTTTATTTTGTTTCCGAAAAGAACAGGATAGTATTTGTGAGCTTGGCTAGTTTTGTATGGACGGTTTATCTCGCGCATGTTAAAAGTAAAGAAAAAAATGAAAAAGCTGTAATTTGAGTGTAAATGACTTTAAGCAGGAGTAACAAATTATAATCAGACATTATTACGCGACGCACGTATATTATTTAATACATTTATTACCTAAATTTATTTTTATTTTTATTGTATCGTCTTAAAAAGCAAATTGTTATCACCTGAATGTTGGCTACATGCTTACGTTAAGGCGTCACGCCCCGATCTCTATTCTCCGTTTGTTTAAGTACTCCAAACACTGGTCACCGTTTGAAGATTTCGAATTGCAATAAATAGGGGAAAGTGGGGGATATACGAACACCTAAGGGAAAACTTAAAAAAAACAATGGAATTTAATCACAGATTTTTTAAATTTTTTTTATTATAAAGTTTACTTATCTGTCTAACTTATTCACTAATCATCATTTATATTTTTTTAATAAACTGCAACAATATGAAAGAAAAACAAAACCCTTACTGTTCGGCTTTTTTTTTATTTATTTATAGCTTCTGATACTATAAAGTATAAAGGCGGACTTAATGCCATAGGCATTCTCTAACAGTCTACCTTAGGGGAGTGCAGAGATGAAGCTTGGTAGGTGTAGTGTGAAGCTGATATTACTGAAACATAATAATATGTGTATATATAACATACATAATATTTATAGATACAAATACTCGTACTTACATAAATACATATACATAAATATATAGATATACATAAATATATACATATAAAAACATATATAAACAAATATTATCAATTAGATGACTCTGCTAACTCTCTGAGAAACAGTTCTCGAACCTTCGTCTTAAACGCTTCACGTGTAGTGGCCGATCTTATTTTGAGTGGGAGCGCATTCCATAGAAGAATAGACTGAATAGTGAATGAAGAGTGTAAAAAGTCAGAACTATGTGGAGGACAGCGAAGAAGAAGATTGTGAGATGAACGAAGATTTCGGCTGTGGTCAGACCCTAAGTATTGAAAGGAAGTAGTTAAATAAGCAGGTGGATTTGGGGAGTGCAACAAAGAGTAAAGAGNGCCGATCTTATTTTGAGTGGGAGCGCATTCCATAGAAGAATAGACTGAATAGTGAATGAAGAGTGTAAAAAGTCAGAACTATGTGGAGGACAGCGAAGAAGAAGATTGTGAGATGAACGAAGATTTCGGCTGTGGTCAGACCCTAAGTATTGAAAGGAAGTAGTTAAATAAGCAGGTGGATTTGGGGAGTGCAACAAAGAGTAAAGAGTACTGAGGGCACGCAAGCTACGGCGTTGACGAATGGCTTTGCCCGACATCAGTCGGGTAAATACGAACACCAAGTGGGGTGATTACGAACCAACATTATTAACGACATAGATCACATTTAAAACCCAACGATGTTGACTGTCCGTCAGTACAACTCTCGTGAGCCCATTTTTTGCGCACATAGCACACAATCTAGTCTTCAACGGGAGGATTAATATATTTATCTCTACAAAAAATACAAAAGTAGTCTTTATTTTCTTTTTCGCCTTTTTCTTTTTTTTTCGTATTTTGACTAGAGTCACTAAAGTCTTTTTTTATATTCTTCAAATTCTTTAATAATATTACATACTTCTTGTTTGAAGGTGTTCTCTCATTACATTTCAGTCTTTTTATTTGGGTTCCTTTTTTGCCATCTCTCCGTTTTCTTCTTGATTTCTTACGTTTCCTGATCGTCTGTAAATAAAGGTTTTCATCCAACCATGGCTGTATTAACACTTCTTTCATTAGATGGTCAAAATTAGTGGTTTTTGGAACATTATATGTTTCTGCTGCTTTACGCAGGGAGAGTTTTTGGTTTTAACATCGTCTATAGCCTTTTTGAGATTTTCTAAACTATACTTCAGTTCGGTCTTTCTTTTTTAAGTACAAAGCATCTGTAATAATATTTAAAAAAAAGTTGAACGGGGTACAAACAAACGGGAGTGGGGTAACGAGATTCGAGAATATGTTCGAGATTGCCCGACATGGAGTGTTCGTCTTTACCCCGCGGAATCGAAAATAATTAAAGGTCAAAAAACAGTTTTGGTTAAATTTATTTTGTCTACTATATCATTATCATTTAGCTGAGTAATATGTGATTATTCCACTATGTAAAAGCTGAATTATTATTGTAGATAGAAATAAAGTTACATCAACTTGAATGTACCAAAAAATTACATCTAAAACATACAAAATATTGAAAAATGCATACCTTTTTAAGTACGCGCGTTCGCGTCTCCCGTGTTATTGACTGGCATCAGTGGTGGCGTGATCTCCGAAATGGCGGCAAATAAAATTAAGATATATCTTTCTAACATATTAGAACCATTGAATTCGGCATTACCCAGCGTTCGCGTTTCCCCCACTTTCCCCTACAGTGAATTTCTCATCGGATCTTCTCAGTGTGTCGCGATTCCGATCCGGTGGTAGATTCAGCGAAGCACTGCTCTTGCTAGGGCTAGTGTTGGCAAATCCTCCCAGATTGAGTCCAGTGAGCTCACTTACCCGTCGAAGCATAGCTGGAATAGTCCTTCGTGGCTAACAGTGATTAAGTAAGAAAAATAAAAAGAAGGCCATAATTTAACGTTTTTATTTCATTAAAATCATACGCAAGTTTGTTTTCAGACTCATAATTTAGGTGCACAATACAGAAAATGAGGTAGGTAATATATTACAGCCTTTGAAAAGAAAATCTCAATAATATTAATATCAATGGCGATGTAGTAGTACATGCTTATAGCAGATACTTGTACAAAGAAAATACATACTAGAATTATATTTTGATATACGTTCGTGGAAGTTTTTAGTCAGTCTCATTCATTTTTAATAGACAAATGTTGGTAAGAGAATACGCATTTTTTTTGGAGAGTATTAAAATTTAATATTGTGGTGCATTGTGTTGATGTATCAAAAATAACAAAAACGGTTTAAAAGTCCACGCATTTAAATACTAAATTCATTGTTGTATTTTGCACGGAATAGATAAATAAGGTTGGAAAGGCCTTTGCTCTAATTTTGTATTAGAACCAGTGTCGCCGCTTCATCCCCACTATTTTAATTTCTACACATACACACACTGTGATTACAAGTATTTCGCACACAACAAAAACACCCACACATAAATCTCAGGACAGATATTCGTTCGCAAACTAGCACAAAACACCCGTAGGCATACACACTCACACACGCAAAAAGGCAATAAAAATGTTCATACACGCTAGTGCTTGATAAAATCGATATTCTTTATCGATAAATTATCTGATGAATGAATGGAGAAAATGAAACATGAAATAAATATTGAAAAAAAAAACTATTTTACTTTTATTAATTACAAATAGTCACTGTCGCTGGAATAAAACGTATTTGTTAAGCAGTTGGCGCTTGCTATTAATTGCGAATGAATTTTTCAAAACTAAGTGTATTCTGATTTTTTTTATGATAAAATCATTTTCAGTAAAATGTTTAGAGCAAATAGTACTCGTCTTTGTCTCCAGTTTCCTCTACCTGTCACGTCAATCCATTGTTCCCTGGCGTTAGGTTCTTTAGGAAACCTAAAATTTTTAATTTACTGCATAAGTCAAATAGCATTTTACTTAGATTTTAATACGTCTTAGACAATATAGTAAATACCCGTAAATGAGAGGTCTACATGTCCCTTTATATTATACCTTCACTTTAATTCAATGATAATAATTCAATAATAATAATACATATTTATTTTACTCAAAATACGTCTCACTAAGAATATACTAGGTATCATTAATTAAATATAAAATAATGCAAAAATTATCCATGTCAAATGTAAATATAGTCGAGAATTCTGTCGATGATTTTATTTCACCACATGGTCACCTCACTATCGACAAACTAGCGCCGTGCACCACGGCCAATCAGGGCAAAGGCCGAAATTTCAAAGATTGAAGTGTAGAGAACGCAATGCATGTAGTACATTGGAAGCTGACTTGGTCATTGCGTTCATTGGGCGAGTACACATCGCGCAATGTATGCTATTTATAACTTGCTGCAATAATATTGTTAATGTTTGGAATTTCATAATGCTCAGTATATTTTTATGTTTTAGACAAATAATATTGTAATTAAATGGTAATTTCGACTTACCGATCGAAAGATATACCTCCTCGCTCTATACTTGAGGTCTGATTTTTTGTTTTACAAGTTAAAATTGCACAACACGGCACTATAAAGCGGAGATCTGTTCGCCAAGTAGTCCGAAGCGCACTAAACGCGGTGAATGAAAGAATCGGTCGAGTTATGTTTGTTCTATCATAATTGTGGCACGCTTGCCCCGCCTACATTACCATTCCAACCTTATTTATTTATAATGCTAAATGATGGCAGTAGCGACATCTACTGAGTATTTTTGACAAAGTTACCCTCCAAGTAGCTCTATCTATTAGTTGTATAGAAATACTGTTCGAGGTTTTCGGTAGTCATGTTTCAATTTAGTACCGTCAAAGTTGTATAGATGTCACTATTACAATTTGCTAATTTAGTCCGACTACTTGACAACAGATGACAAAATGTTAATTATTTGTTCAGAAAAGGGTTACCTTATTAAGATTTTTTCTCAGCTGCGTCCATAATTTACTCAAGCTATTTTACTCGGTAGGGCGTTTTTGAGCCCGCACCGGTCGATACAACCCTGCTTATTTCTGTCACGATGCAATAATGCATTCCGGCATGAAAAACAGCAATTATATACCTAATTTAGGTGGCAGCATCCTTGTATAAATGCTTATAAGCAGGAGCCTACAGGAGCCTTACAGGAATAACCACTTAGCACTGTGTAGACCAAGAGCTCGTACAACAATAAAAAATAAAAATATCATCATTAAGCCTAATTCCGTTTCAATATGTGTATTCGCTTATTACAAATTCCATATCCATCAATGAAGGTAATATAAATTTATCAATCATCAGTTTAAATGTTCACGTGCACTTTTAAAACAATTCAAGAACCCAAATTACCGCCACTGAATTATAACCATAAAGTCGGGTGTGAAAATTTACTGACAGCGAAACGTAATCCTTATGTTCAGTACGCTTAGGCTTATATTAGTCTTAACGTGGTTCCTTAACACAAATAATGTGCAAGTGATGTTAAGGTTATTTTTTTTCTAATTCACTCTTATCCCGCGATCCTGAGCTGCGACAACCACTTCAAAATTCATAGTTTACATCATAAAAATGCTACTTTATTGCTAAGTGTGACGTGCTCATATCGAAACGGCTTTCGAAAAGCTTTTTAGCAAACTAAACGATTTGGGTAATTTATGAACTCACATACTCAAAAATGTTTATCATTTTTCTCATTCTACACTATTAGGCATGATTAGGTAGGTAGAGAGAAAAAAATGTAAATTATATTATATATCGGTTATAGTCAACCGTAATCCAGCTATTTTTCAAATTTGGAACAGGCACGTTTCCTAGATATTCTAGAATTATTCGAAATTGATTCCGAACTATTCCAGAATTCAAAATGTGTATCGTGTTCCAATTTTATTGGCAACGCCACAGCAAAATCTAATTACAGATCGACTGAAAAAATTAAATAAGGCTTTTGATTTGTTTGCTGTTTAATTACTACAGAACCCTGAAAACGTCAATAACATGAAAACAATTATACAGAAAACTTTATTGGTAGTCTTGAATGATAGTAAACAATACAGACATTCACTGCTATTTTCGCCACAATGACCGATCATAAGTTCCCTCAACAGGTCATAAGTGCAGCTTATGGTGCCAACGCCGCGTCTCCAGATACGCGAACGCCTCTCCGAATCTTTGTAGACCGTGGATCGACTCAGATGTAATAAAAATTTTAATGGCGTCTTTACGACACCACAATCGAGTATCGGTTCAGAGTGTGCAAAAAAATAATAATATTTGTGAACCATAAAATTTATGGCTACTTCGCTTCCGAATGTGAAGCTATTAAAGTTTAAGTAATTGTTGAAGAGCTTACTGCCGGTTCTACCGTACTGCCTGCTCGTGCCGTGCTCCACAGACACAGCCCATTGAGTTTCTCGTTGATTTTTTTTTATTTTATTGCTTAGATGGGTGGACGAGCTCACAGCCCACCTGGCGTAAGTGGTTACTGGAGCCCATAGGCATCTACAACGTAAATGCGCCACCCACCTTGAGATATAAGTTCTAAGGTCTCAGTATAGTTACAACGGTTTGTTGAGTGCGTATTTCATTAAAAAAATTGGTACCAGCCTGAGATTCGAACACCGGTGCATCGCTCAACACGAACGCACTTATCCCTTAGGCCACGAGGACTACATTTAGGCTACGACGACTACAATTATTTGTTTTTATTTATTGGCGCTGTAGATGCGTCCAACATCGCCCGTGGACGTCAGCAATTAGGCACAGCCAAGCCGCTGCCTGCCTCTAAATATTCTCGTCTCATAGGGTGTCTACACAATAGAATTATCGAATAACTTTCAAAGCGACCGTCACATATTTCATTCTGTCATGACCACGTCGCGTTTATACGAACTGTCGCTTTGATATATAAACATATCAATTCACGCAACTCTAGTGAACTGAGATACAATTATTAATTTATTATTTTAAATTTGACCGCATTGTACGTATTACAGGGAGTGGCTTATTCGTCTCCGAAGTCAATAAGGGTAATGTCGGAGTGGCCACGGTCTGAATAGATAGATAATAATAATCTAATAATAATACATAATAATAACAATTGGGGTTAAATCAAGCACGATCCTCTACTCGCAATTTAGGATTCCCTGTGTTATTGATAACAGAGACTCATATTTTTTGTACTTCCTATAGTGATAGCCTTGAGAGGCTATTTGAGCTTCCCCTTGACGTGTAGGTGAGCTCACGGAGCTCAAACCCGGGTGTTGCTAACACTGGCCCTAGCAAGAGCAGTGCCTCGCAGAATCTACCACCGGATCGGAAACGCGACCCACTGAAAATATCCGGCGAGAAACTCAGTGGGCTGTGTCTGTGGGTTAATTCGCTCGTCGAGCCCTTTGTCGTAAGCGACGGGTTCGGCGAGGACGGTGACCGGTGCTTGAGGTACCTAAAAACACCGTTAATGGATCGGGAGGATCCGTAATGACGTGTTTTGGGCGACGTCGACTGTTTACCATTCGATCCACAGGATCGGGTATGACACTGATAAACATACTTATATGTGTTTAAATATATAACACAAAGAGCAAACAAGCCTGTCTGACACGCAATGTTTGCCCGATATGGGAATCGAATCTACTACCCTCGGCGCAACAGTCATGGGCGTATGTCGACGTCGCCCAAAGTATGTCATTACGGATCCTCCATCGATCCATTAACTGTGCTTTTAGGTCACAAGCACCGGTCACCATCCCCGTCGAACCCGTCGCTAGCGACGAGTGAATTAACCCATAGACACAGCCCGCTGTGTGACTCGCCGAATCCTCTCAGTGGGTCGCGTTTCCGATCCGGTGGTAGATTCTGCGAGGCACTGCTCTTGCTAGGGCCAGTGTTAGCAACACTCCGGTTTGAGCTCCGTGAGCTCACCTACACGTCAAAGAGAAGCTGAAATAGCCTCTCAAGGCTATCAGCACAGAAAAAAAAATTGTATATATTTTATTCGTGTTCTACTGTAAATCCTGTTGGAAATACTTATGCAACTAAATATATCATATCTAAATGAATGATATTAATTAATTAGCTTTTTGTCGGTTTTTCTCAATGATGAAACTTGAAATTGCCTATTTACGTTTAGATAATAATAATAATAATAATAATAACTCTTTATTTATATAACACCTTAATATGTACACAGTAAAGTAATAAAACAAAAGTCGGTATATAAATCGGCGGCCTTATCGCTGAAAGCGATCTCTTCCAGGCAACCTTGCAGGGAGAGGAATAAGTTAACTGGACGGTGCTATATCTTAATAAACTTACATAAAAATATATACTTANTCGGCGGCCTTATCGCTGAAAGCGATCTCTTCCAGGCAACCTTGCAGGGAGAGGAATAAGTTAACTGGACGGTGCTATATCTTAATAAACTTACATAAAAATATATACTTAAATACACATGTGAAAAATAAATACCATATAAGATAAACTTACATACGATTAAATACAAATAAATACTAAAAATATACAAGATAAAATACAAAAGGAGTAGGAACTTATACAGTTATATCATAGAAGCAAAGTAGTGCGATTTCAATCTGGACTTGAAAATTTCCGGCGAGGACGATTGTTTAACGCTTAGAAGTTTAGATGTTGTTTTTATTTATTAAATGTATAGGAATGTCACAATTAACAAAAACCACTAGCCTTATTTCGCCTGTTCAACTCACCACCGCGGCGCTTCTGCGTATAGATAGGACTTCGACACACAATAGATGGGTTAATGATAATCAATTGGAAATAAATGACTCTGAATTACAATTACATTTATTTTGGTTGCAAAATTTACTTGTATCGTGTCAAACGAGATGAAAGTGTTACGGAAATGTATTTAAAAAAAGCTAGTGGTCCCGCTGTAGTCGAGATTCGACTATAATTAATTAAAATTATAAGTTTGAACATTATTATGGTTCTATTGCCAAAGACTATTATAATTCTATAATCACAGATTTCGCCAAGACTACACTATAGACAAATAATATTAAAGATAAACAATATTAACCTAATCTCAATTTGACCGCAGACTTTATGCAATAGGTAACAAAAGTTTGACAGTTAAAAAGTATGTTTTATATATGTTGTGGGTGTAAAATACATGGTAGAGTGTGTAATGTTTTATTTATTTATTTAATATATTATTAATGCATAATTAAAAAAAATATTAACATTCTGCACTCCTTCTCTATATTCTCTATAAGTGTGGGAAATATCATACTCCTCCGTCCGTGCAATTTTCGTAAAAAGGGGTACAAAGTTTTTGCTTCAAGATTATTTTTTTTATTGCCCTTGTAGGCAGACGATCTTGCGGCCCACCTGGTGGTGAGTGGTTACCGTCGCCCATGGACTTCAGCAATGCCAGGGGCAGAGCCAAGCCGCTGCCTACCGCAAAATTAATCACGTATTAATATATAGATATATATATATTTTATAAGTTTTGGTGTCGAATATTTAAACGTCACTTACCAAACTGTCAACGCGATATCGTTCTATGTTCAATCAATCAATCACAAATCAAAGTTTGTAAGAAAGAAAAAAAAGTCTTAACAAGCACAATTTAAAAGTCATTAGGCTGAACAAAAAGAGCGTCACTTAACGCTCGAATGAAATCATTCGCTTTATTTACGCCGAGTTGTAAACAGAACCAGACCTTGAAGACAGAGATAGACCTATACACAGCTCTACGAGATAGAGCGCGATGCACTCGGTCCCATGGCCCCGCCCAACACCGACCGGGCTCCATGGATTGGCTTCCCCCGACAATCTAAACACCATCAGTCTTCCACCGCATGCCATCAAACCCACAACTTAATTATTCCACTCTCACCCTCGTAATCAATTAGTCAAAGTGAATAATGAATTAAGTGTTCGTTAAAAAAATTAAAATGGAGAATTACGGACAGCAGACCGAAGTGGCTTCCGCACTGTTCAATAACAACCACATCAAACAGAATTACAATAATGGGTGCAAAAACGATTACTGCTACCTCGTCGACGACTGCGCCAAGCACAAAGGAGTTATGGAGTATAACAGCATAGTGGACGACAAATCGAATTATCCTTTGAAACAGGAAACGGAAGGCACCCAGAACTTCCACACGCCGTTTTCGGTTAAGGACATTTTAAACTCGACGAATTACAGCTACGAAAGGACCGATTTGTGGAAATGCCACGAGAGGGACCGAAGACTTGACCACGAACAAGCTTTCCACCAGAATACGTACAGCGCTCAGGAGTACTACAACCCGATGTACCCCAACATGCCGGTACACAGCAACGTAGAATATTGGAATCAGGATGCGCACGATCATAAATTCGACGAATATTATAACTACAATCCGTATTGCCATAATTGGTATCATCAGAACTATGAATACGACACGGGTACTTATGGATTAGTGGAGGCTCCGACGAAGGCTGAAGAGAGAGAGTCGCATATAGCGACGCCGCCGCCATCAGAACCCAAAACTAGTGCCGACAAAAGTCATTACCGCGTTCTGGAGGAAGAAAAACCTGCTGCGTCGACGAGAAAAAGTTAGTATTCTTACTATAGTCTTGTACAGATTCTCTAGTTTATTAAAGTAAATTGAATCTTTTGGATAACTCATTAAATAGCTGATGGAATTTTTATCTAAATACGCGTTAAACATTTCTCATGTGAATAGAAAAGCGGACCAGTTTTTACGCTAAATGCTTTTAAGTTACAGTCAAATACAATTTGCCCCAAAAATTATTTAGATATTGCCAACCGATTTATAACTGCTAATGTACAAAAGATATACAGATTAATGTCGATTTTCTATACCGATAATTAAACTGATCTATTTGACAATGTCCCTAAAATAAAAATTAGTAAAACGGAAATAAAAAAAAACCTCTTCAGAATTTTTAAAGTATACCTTAAACGGTGGGTTTTCTTTACAGAAACGCCCGCGGATGCCAAGCCTGATAGAAAAGAACGAAGCCTGAAGCGTAAACCCAGGATCCTCTTCTCGCAAACCCAAGTTCACGCCCTGGAGGTCCGTTTTAGAATTCAAAAATACCTCACTGCTCCTGAAAGAGAACAACTTGCCGTCTCGCTGAACCTGTCGCCTACCCAAGTCAAAATCTGGTTTCAAAATCGAAGATACAAAAGTAAGAGAATCAAATCCCCCGAAGTCACGACGTCCACCGACACGAGACCCGGCAAGGTGTTCGGAGTCAGGAAATTGTTTAAGCCCGAAAAGAAAGACGACGTGCCAAGCCAGAATGGTTACGAAGACAAAAGCGCTACAACTGCTGAAAGACTGTTCAGTCTAAACCCGAATAACGTGACTTCAATTGTTTATTTCGATGAAAATCTAAACTATGATAGCAACGGTAATGACGTCACTGGTGTTATTGAGGATAAATATGATAATTTAGATGTATGTAACACTGAAATATCGAGTCTGTATGAAACCAACCTGAGTACCGGTAGCCAAAAATACGAATCTGATGTTAAAAAGTATTTCACTATGAACTATTCTTGTTGATTCGGGTTAGCTTAAGTATTTTTTTAATCCGATAATAGACTGATTTTATTTTTTATTTTTATTACGTCAAATTTTATGTTTATTTTCATTATTTTTGTTAATTTGTTTTGTATTATTAGTTTAATTGATCGCATGCTTTAGCAATTACGTCATAGGTCTAAGTACAGTTAAATGCCAAAGTATTATTTAGTTTTAATGAAAATCTTGTAAATAAATGAAAAATATTTACCAGTGATTGTTTGATTGTCTAAGTAGGTATTTAATTTAGAAACTTCATCCTTTATCGCGCACCATCGAACGTCCTTGAGTCTAGTCCTGTAATGTAGTTATTGAGGTGAGGATATTGTTGACAATTTGCCACAATCAAATTCAATTATATTCTCAATTTCAATCTTTCTTTTCTCAAATTCAATTTTTGTCCGATATTGACTTGAAGTCCATAATTTTGTGGAACAGATATATGTGTTTGAATCATAATCAGTTTTATTTTTTGGGATCAATACGGCCCTTAGGATTTTGACTAATCACTGCCAGTTATTGACTTCAGATATAATACTTACACAAGAGCGAGTCGATTGTCAGTTTGTCTCTGTACTGATGCACGCAATTATATATTAAACCTTCACACGCAGTATATCTTCAAGCGAGGTTCAAGTATTGGTCATGATGATTTGATGTTGCAAAGGCCTTTTTGAATAACTCTTCTTTATGACCACAAAACAGGGTCATGTATAGCTTAGCTAATATTCGTGGCTGGCGGTAACGGTTTCCATCAGTTAGGCTGCGTGCTCGTTCTCTCTCTATCTATGTATTAGTCTAAGTATATACTTAACCAAGGTACTCGGACGTGATGTTTCTACCAAGCTTTCCACTAGTTTTTGCTCAGCGGGTCACGATTTTGATGCGATGGTAGATGCCTTCGCAAAGCAACTACTCTTGAGCTGCTAGGTGTCCTTAGGAGACATCAGGCAGATATAGTAAGTCCTCATCTCATAGCTGAACCCTCGATTTCTCACACCTGTACTGACTATACAGCCAGGATGGGATCTTACGAAATAAAAGCTGTTTTAAATTAAACTAGCGTTTCTAAAACTTCAGCCGTTGGTAAATATATTTTCTATTGCTTGGCTGGATGTGTTTTTTTCTGCATTAGCATTTTAGCATTAAAGCGTGTGTGTTTTTTTCTGCAACATTTTAGCATTAAAGCTTTACAATACCAACAAAGAAGATTGATTGATAAACAGAGGAGAATGGTATACTTAAGTGTTTCCAAGAGTGTACGACTGAGAAGTAGAGGAATTTACATAATAATAACAAATAATAACAATAATACGAATCAGCTTAAAGCGATATTGTTCCCCACAAAGAATAATAAAAGCAAACGTAGGTATTTCATATTGATCAGCTTTAATAAAACAAACTGCAACTTAAAATTCCTAATTACAAACTTTGAGAAGCACCGATAATAACCGACCATTGACAGTAAGCCACGAACGCTGCCTTCAAACTTGCGACAATTAAAATACAACCACAGAATAGTTAAAATAATGACTCTCCTAAATATTGATAAACGCAATGCTTTATTATAATTAAAATAAATATTGTTGTATCAATATTACAAAACTTATAAGTGGAAATTTTACTCTCTTTGTATTTTACGCATTCACGTCTCGACTTCTCAACCGATCGTCATGAAATTTTTAACAGGCATTGTCAGAGGTACAGAAATGGCTATAGGGTATCTTTCGTTCAGAAAAAAAGTACTAAATCGGAGTGATGCCACGAGTAAAGGTTAGTATAATGTTAATAATAACATTAGACAATAATTTTACTTGACTTCAGAGCAATAAATGAACACACAAAATGCAGATAAATTTACAGTCTCGTCCTTTTTTTCGTTTCAATTTGTAGAGATCTTTTTTTATCTGAAATTGCTACCATGCCCTCTCGAGCGGGGGTTGTGCTGTGCATACAGGCGTTCGAAACGCTGCGATTTTAAAACGTAACTAATTTATGACCCTTTTTATTGACAAATATTTTTATTTTAACATAAGATTACAAGATATTTTTTGCCACGTTTTTACGGGTGGTAGGACTTCTTGTGAGTCCGCGCGGGTAGGTACCACCGCTATGCCTATTTCTGCCGTGAAGCAGTAACGCGTTTCGGTTTGAAGGGTGGGGCAGCCGTTGTAACTATACCTGAGACCTTAGAACTTATATCTCAAGGTGGGTGGCGCTTTTACGTTGTAGATGTCTATGGACTCCAGTAACCACTTAACACCAGGTGGGCTGTGAGCTCATCCACCCATCTCATCAATAAAATTAAAAAAATGTACCATCTGACTTTGGAAGAGTGTTTCCCGAGCGCTATAACATGTCCTTCTTCAAACGAGGCTTGTGGAGAGTATTAAACGGTAGGCAGCGGCTTGGCTCTACCCCTGGCATTTCTGCCGTTCATGAGCGACAGTAACCACTCACCATCAGGTGGGCCGTATGCTCGTCTGCGTACAAGGACAATAAAAAAAAATGCTATTAAATAAGAAACTCAAATCACTTTTTGTAACTTTACTGTATGCTTTGTTCAAGAGTATATTGAATTGAAAACAAACATTCATTGAACATGCTCCCGGTATTTCTCTCATCTGTGCATATGTAAAATATTGAAATTGACTTAACTTTTATGACCACGACAGTAAAAATATTTTTTATTGTGGCCGATTAATGAATGTATTGTTTATTATTATTTATTATTAATTTATTGTTGGGCTTGTTCTTCAATTCGAGCCGAGCCGATGAAAAATATGTAAAATAAAACAAAAGTATAGGAAAAGGTACACTTTTTGTCCGAAGGAAAAGTGTTTATTTCATAATAGTGTCATTTTAACGATATTATCTATTTAGTATTTGAAAATTTAATTTTTTTATGTAAATATTTATTAATAAAAGTAACATTGATCCATTCCATCCTCTTGACGGAAGATCAGCCCATTGCTATTTTTGTTTATTTCTTTACTTTAATAATATTGTCAATCACAAGAAATTTACAAACACTTTTTAATGGAAAACAACCCAAAAATTGTAAACGAAAGCACTTGCGAATTTTCTTTAAGGTCTATTATTAATAAAACACATAAATATGTAAGTTTGTTTGTGCCCATACAAACCGTTCTTATTCGTGACATTCTAATGCACTTTTCGCATCTAGAACTTTCAAGATAGCTACAGCGAAACGGCTTTGAAAATATTCAAGGTCGATAACCATTTAAGCTCTTACAAAACTGCGATCATAACATATTAAATAAACTTGCGGCTTCATTATTCTCGCTCGTCTACTCACCCCCATCCCCATAGACAACAGGCGCCGGCGCCGTGAGATAACCATGGGCCCCATAACACGTGTCCCATAGAGAGTATGGGACCTGCGCTATGGGAATATCGGTATCGACACCTGTTCTTAAAAGGCCTATATCGGTTTATGGTGTAAGCGTGCCTGTTTTACAACTTCACAGATTCCGTCCAGCGGCGAGTCATTAATTGAATATAACTATTAAAATGAATCGAAGATATCATCTCTATATTAATACGTGAAGCAAAAACTTTGTATCCCTTTTTGCGAAAATTGCGCGGACGGAGGAGTATGAAAGGAGACTGAAACGATTACATACATTTTTGGGCCCGAATGTAACGTGATGAAACTAATATGAATTAATAGATTCAGATTTATCAGTACCTTGCTGAAAATTATAAAAGTTTTCTCAATCTGAGAACCGAGTTAATCAAGATTTAGTAAAAGTTAGGTTATGTTACAATCTCTTTAAAAGAGCTGAATAATATTAACTTATTTAAGCATAAGTAAATGTTTATTATATCCATTGGATAATCTTTTAAATGTCATATTATGAATGAATATCAATGATATATATCAGGTATGGAATATGGAATTGCTATCCCACAATTCACACAGCGATCCATAATTTCAACAGTATCCAATGCAACAATTTCAAGTCAAACGTGTGAGCGATCTTCGGTGTCCAGTGTAGAAGCAATTGTCGTACAAGGCTGGCAGAGTTGGAATCCGTAATAATAAAGCAGTGATCGTTGAAAATATAAAAACAGCCCGATAGATACACACTCAAAATGCGTCGAAGATACAAAACGAGTAGAGCAGAAAAAACCAACAAGCGCCAAAAAATAATTGTATAATCTATGAACAAACGTCATGTCAGCTTACTGTCAAAGCTGTCATCAAAAATACAATCGATTTTAATCGATTTGAAATCGATAATCATATTACTTTGCTAAGTAATAATAGACTTTTTCTTCATTTATGTATATAATCGCAATTTAACCCGGCGCATACCGCACTTGTATACAACAAGTATAAATCGCTCATTTAATTACTTTGCATTAATTACCTAGTGCAATGTTATTCTTTTTATAATCCTGTAATCGATTAATTAAATCGATCACACCGTTATACCGACAAAAACTAACTTTCTCATTTTTCTCCGGTCCCAGAAAGAGGATTGAGGTGATTTTTTATATTCTTATATAAAAAAATATGACAAATTTTTTAGACTACATTCCAAGTTATTACATTTTTGGCCCACGATTTTCCGTCTCCTTTTCCACACTTATAGAGAATATAGAGAAGAAGTGCACAATGCTAATATTTTTTTAAAATAATTCGTAAAAGATACATTAAATCAATAAAGAAAACATTACACACACTACATACCATGTATTTGACGTACACACAAGATGGATGGCCCACATTTACGTTATGGATATCTATGGGCTCCAGTAACCACTTAACACTAGGTGGGCTGTGAGCTCGTCCACTAATCTAAGCAATAAAAAAATAAAATAAAAAAACTAGCGACCCGCTATCACTTCGCTTCGGAAACTGTAATTTATTATTGATTTCTCCACTATTTAATGGATGTTATTACACATATAAAACTTCCTCTTCAATCACTCTATCTACTAAAAAAAACCGC